CCCAATTCGGTTTCCCCGCCCCCATCTCTTTCCAGTGGTTGGCCCACCACAACCAGACATGCTTAGAGGCCGGGCATTCCCACCAGAGATGCCTTGTGGACTCAAAGGGCCAGCGACACCTGGAGCAACCCAAATCCACTTCCACTCCTCTGCCTAGCAACCAGACTGTGGATGGGGTTACCATCATGGACAGCAACCACGAAATACTTACTTGTTTCCCGTTAGGGAGAGCGCAAAGATTCTTCCAAAGGAGCTCGAACTGCGCGGTTGTGGCTGGGCAGGAGCTACCCAAGACTGTCGACCATCTGGATACTGCCACCTCGGATGGTCTTCTGGTCGGCCTGGTTGCCAGTTCATATCCTGTTCTTGAGGTATATCCCGAGAGGTTAACCAGTTCCTTGTTTGCGTTCTCGGGCACCGGCCTGGCCCAGTTCCATGCCTGCGGGTCGATCTGCAGCTGTCTCAGTGACGTGTGACCTACCCAGAACAGTGTGAGCTGATTACCCTGCTGCTTGATTTTCACTATCCTGGCTTGAGGTGGATTCGCCCAGCTTTGAATCGTCTGCTCCCCTAGTTTCATCAGTAGGTTCGTGTGTTTCTCGCAGGTCCACTCTTCCACCACCCTGAAACCACTTGCCGTGATCTCTTTCGTTTTCGGAATCCACAACACGTCTCCCTCACCCCTCCTGTCAGCAATGTACCATGTGCTCACAAGGGTCTACTCCTTCTGGTCCTGGGATGTCAAGCCAGTCCTGAGGGCTGGCCTCCCTGATGTACTGCCAATTCTCTTCCACTCTTCTCAGTCCTTGGAGGTTGGTCTTGATGGCTTCTCGTGTTTCCCAATTGCCCAGCAGTGGAGCCCACAGGTCTCGTATCCGTGATACTCCTTTTCTCAGCCACGCCAGTCCAAAGGAAGATGCTGAGCCGTCCGCGAGGAAGGGGCGGCCCTCTTGAGTGAGTATGTTTGGATTCTCGAAAAGTTGCTGGGCTAGGACTTCCTCTTTCGTGCATGACAGAGTTGGAACATCCGAGGTCTTAACTGACGACGTCGCATCTGACGTCTTAACTGACTTCCTCTTTCGCTCACGATAAACTTCACGACAGTCAAAAACAGCCAGGTAGATGAAAGGGGGGAAAAAATAAATAAAGAAAAAACACCATTCCAGACGTCTTGACTGACGACGTCGCATCCAACAGAGAGAAGCAGCAGTCGGCCTAACACGGCACACTCCACAGTAAAATATAACAATCAGGTTCTCCTGCCTGTGAGCAGCCAAACGCCTGGTACGAATGCCCATCACAGTCTGACGTACGGGAAGGCAACCGCAGGCAGAACCGTTGTCATACTCCGACAAACTCACTCCCCTGGCCAATCGATGAGAAGCTCTCGCACAGTGAAGCAGGAAACACAGCAGATATAGATGCTGATCATAATGCTCCAAAGATATAGATGCTGATCATAATGCTCCAAATCTGAAGAACAGAAGCGCCGACTCGGACACGCCGATCCCGGTTGCAAATAGCGTGTAATTGGAAACAGCGTATAGATGGCACGCCGCCCCTGCTCCCGACGCAGATGATGTTGGTGTCAGACAAACTCCATAGCCGCAAAGCACAGCAATGGCCGCTAGATGTTGGTCCTGCTTAGGTTAATTGTAGTCACTTTCCTGGAAGTGGGACACTGAACCTGGTTTCCAGCAGGTGCAGCTCCCCAGCAATAGATTGGAGCTGTCTAATTGGGAGGCCTATTATTGGAGGACGTTCTTATCGCCTCCACTAATAGGTCTCTAGCATATGCTTTTTTCAAAGTAAAAAATAAAAAATAAAAAATGGTCCTACCAAGTTTGAGTCTTACATGCCCTGATCCTGGTCATTTTTGCCTTTACATACATGCATGATCCATAAAATTCCTGGTGTGTTTGTCTGCATCTCTACCTTCTCTTTTTCCTCATGATGACCTGTTTCCTGACCTGTTTCCCCAATTGCTGCGCGATTTCTTTTTTTTTTATTTTTTTTTATTTTTTAAAGCCCTTTTGCCATCCCTCTATCCCGGCAGTGGTACGAGAACTGTCAGGATTGAGGGCTTGTCTATCGGGCTGCTCCATCTATTGGTGGGGAGCGGCACCTGCTGGAAACCGGGTCCAGCGTCCCATTGATACATCACATAACACATGGCTTGAGATCGTTGTTGCCTGGGGCTCTGGTTATTATCTTGTCTGTCCTGGGCTCCATTGTCCCTTGGAGCTGCTAGTGACACCCACCCCGTCCTGGAGCACCCCTTGTCTATTAACCCAGCCCCGTTCGAGCAGTGCCGAGGGACGAAAACGGTACATGCTATGGTTTTCAACTGTTGTCGAGTATTTTTTTTTATTTTTGTTGGGAAAACTGTCGTCGAGTATGTCAAAGAGGTTGCGGGTTCGATACCCCTAAAGGGTTTTCGCAATACCCCTACTTTTTTTCTCGGGGTGAAACTCGACTACCGTAGCAGCAGAGCGAACTCAGCTGGTACAACCACGAACTGTTTTTTTTTTTTTTGTTTTTTTTTTTGTTTTTTTCTTTTCTTGATTTATGCGTGTCATCTTTTTTTTTTTTTTTTTTGCAAAATAGCCCTTATGTAAGCCGTCTATCCTTACACATCTAGATGTGTATAAGAGACAGCCAGAGATGCCTTGTGGACTCAAAGGGCCAGCGACACCTGGAGCAACCCAAATCCACTTCCACTCCTCTGCCTAGCAACCAGACTGTGGATGGGGNTTTTTTGTTTTTTTCTTTTCTTGATTTATGCGTGTCATCTTTTTTTTTTTTTTTTTTGCAAAATAGCCCTTATGTAAGCCGTCTATCCTGGTGGCGGTAGGAGAACTGTCAGAATTGAGGGCTTATCTGTCGGGCTGCTCCATCTATTGGTGGGGAGCAACACCTGCTGGAAACCGGGTCCAGCGTCCCATTGGTACATTTTGTAATACAGAGATTTGCTGTTTGTTTGTTTGATTGTTTCCTGGACGTTTCTCTTGTCAGCCGGGGCTCCGTTTTCCTTTTGGAGCTGCTATGAATACCCATCCCATTTTGGAGCACCCCTTGTCTATTAGCTCAGTCCTATTCAGCAGCTCCCCTGTGCAGGGGCCATGGGAATGGTCTTTCTCTAACAGAAGTCCCGAAGGACCAACCAAGAACTGATGAAGTGGAGACCTAGAGTTCAAACCCGGGGCCAAGTCCCACCAGCAGCGTTGAGTTTCCTCAACACCTGAAGCTGGTCGTGTTTGTGGAGATGTGCAGAAATGGCATTGAATTTCCTGAACCACACATCTCCACACAGACGTCCAGATTCAGGCGTTGAGGAAAACCCGCACATCTCCACACAGACTTCCAGATTCAGGCGTTGAGGAAACTCAATGCTGCTGGTGGGACTAGGCCCCCGACTGACGGAAACTCGGCTTCTCAGCTTCGATGTAGCAGCCGTCGGCCGCAGGGTTAGCCACACCGTCCCACGCAGTTGGCCTGTCAGATTTTTGTTTTTGTTTTTGTTTTCTAAGACTCAGCAGAGGTTGGCCCGTCAGTTTGACGATCATGATCTCTCTTTCTTTTTTCCTTTTTTTGTTTTCCGCTCAAAACTCAAGTTTCATTACTGGGTCTATGACCAACACGGGTGTGAGTGTGAGTGCGAGTGGGTTGTGTGTGGTGTGTGGGAGAGTGTTGGCCATAGCCTCTGCTCCTACTCGATGAAGGGTGGGGGACGATGAGAAAGGGAGGCACAGCTACTGGCAGGTCTCGGTCTTTGTGTTAGCCAGACCCCCACTGGCGGCCCCAACCCTATACCCTAACCATTAGGGGCAAGGGGCAACATGAAATCTCCCCTTCACAGAGAGAGGAAACTATGCTTGCAGGGGTCCCCTCTAGATAGCCTTAGGACTAGGTAGTGGAAGGTAAAAGAAACAGAAGTTGAGAGAAGAATATAGAAAGAAAAAAAAAAAAAAAAAAAGAGGGGCAATTGGTTGGGCTTAAAGAATTAGCCTTAAAAAAAAAGAAAAAAAAAAGAAGAGGGGCAATGGATATACCTGGGGTCTGGTCCCACCTGCGGCCGTTGAGTTTAGATTCCTCAACGGTGTGACACCCCGAAAGCATTAAATAAATCTGAAAAATGCATTTCAGGCATTTTTCGTGAAAATCATAGATCATGCCGGCCGTAAGAAATGAAGTGGAAACATGGTGGTGGTGATGCGGGGTTCACCCTGGCTTCTAACGCAGGACGCTGAATCTCGACGTTCGGAGGAGGATCGTTCCGTGTCGGTGGGCCGACGAATGGGTGTCGTCCACCGGTCTCGAGTTCCATGGGCGCCGGGCCACTTGGCGAGTCGTCAAGGGCAGTGACACCCACCCGCCCCTCGGTGTCTTCGCCTGCAATGCGGCAGAGGGCGACCGCAAGTGCTGCAATCAATGATGGGACTCCACCGGAAGACATCGGGAGGCAGGCGTGGGAGAACTGCCGCCTACAGATGCGGCGTGCTGCCGCGGAGAACATAACCACCGGTGTGTCCAGGCTGCGTGTGGGGAGCGACGTGGATGCGGACGACATCCGTCGGGCGAGTGGGGACGAGTCTCCGGATTCCCGTTACGAAGATGACGCGGAAGACGGTGAGGGGCTGGAGATCTGACCCGTGGCTGCGCGTGGTGGGCGGAGGGGAGGACGCGGACGTCAGCAGAGGGGCGAGTCGCGTGGTGGCCGAGGATCGAAGGCTCCTGTGGGCGACAAGGGTGGCAAGCACCCAGCTTGGAGTGTGGAGGAGATGCTGAAGCTCACTCGAGCGAAGCGGGATCAGCAAGCTCATTTCGAGGGAATGGCGCACAACTATGGACGCATGCGGAACAGGGAGTGGAAGCTGCTGGACCTACAGAAGCGGCTGGCGGAGGTCGGAGTGAACAGGGCAACGGACGACATCGGGAAGAAGTGGGATAACGTCTTGCAGCAGTACAAGAAGGTGTAGCGTTACCAGAACATGTCCGGTGGGAAGAACTTCTTCACATTAACTCCTGCAACGAGAGCGGACGAGGGCTTCACTTCCGAATGGATGAGAGAGTCTTCAATGAGATCGACAACATGTCGAAAAATAACAAGACCATCTACCCGGACAACGTGGCAGACACGAGCGCCCGCGGAGGAGTGCCGCCAGCAATGGATGGTCACCGCCAGGCGGCCGTTGGTGGAGAGTCCTTTGCTGGTGGAGAAGGGGGTGATGGCGTCGACGAAGATGTGGGTTCAGCGCGGGAGTCGGGGTTCAGTGCAGGGAGCACGGGCACTCCAGCGAAGAGGAAGAACATGCGGCAGCAGACCTTCGATGCCATCGCCAAAGTCATGGACAAACACGGTGCATTGATGGCGGACACGGTAGAGGGTGCGAACAAACGGCAGTGTAGCATCCTGGAGCGGCAGTGTGACATCCTGGACCGGGAGGTTGAAGCCCAGAAGCGGCATTGTGACATACTTGAGAGGCATTACACGACGTCCGATGAGGCGAACAGGATGATGTGCATGGCGTTGATGGAGATTGCCAGAGCGATAAGGGACAGATCTTGACGCCGACAAAAATCCAGGAAACAAGGCGGGGGATGGTGTGCGCGATGGCCGTCTACCCTCGTGCGCTTCGAAATGTTGAGTCACTGGCTCTCTAGGGCAGGGCCGTCCATTCCCCGAATCGCACTGTCCCTTGGTATTTGGGGTGGTCTGCCCGCATGCGGAATGGGTGATCGTCGCTGCCGTCGCGTGGAGGGGTGTGCTGGAGGCCGTCTGGGCGGGATCCGCGCGCTGAGGGAGGGGAAATGTCACCGCGAGCACTATAAAGGTCCGCTCGAGCGCTATCTTGTCCATGTCTTTTGGTTCTCGACTGCACGCAAGGCCACGCGTGGGGTTTCCGTTGTGCTGCGCGGGGAGGTGAACATCGCCCGCGCAAGACGATCCCTAGCGACTTCCTCTCAAGCGCTGTGGCAGTCCGCTTTCATTCACGGGGCGTGCGCATCCGACCGTCAGCGAATGGCGCCACGTGGCCAGCAGAAGCCGAAACGTCCACACGGTGGTTCCGGCGAAGCGGGTGCAGGGCAAACCGGAAGGGGCCACATCCCAAAGTCGAAGAAGCTCCGCGCGGGAGATGGGTCGGAAGGCGAGATGGGGGTTGACGGGGGAGAGGAGGTGACCCCTATGGACATCACTTCTGCAGGGACGCCTGCGCTCGGGTTCGGGCGAGACGGTGTGAGCAGGCAGCATATGCTTGCGCTCACCAACCTTGGCGTCCTCACGTCCACGCGCCGTGGCGGTGGCGGGACGGCTCGTGCGCAAGGAGTTCTGTCCGGTGACATTCCACCGCAGAGGGCCGTGGGTTCTGCATCTACCATCGCATCCGTGTCCGAGCGCGACGATAAAGCTCCGGTCGGTGAGTCTCCATCGCCACATGGAGGCGTCGAACCCGACGATTGTCGGCGCTTCGCCGAGGGCTGTGCTTCAATCCGCGCAAGCAGCGAGCGCCGCTGGCCATGCCGCCGCCCTCGGTACTGGAGAAAGGCGAGAAGATCGGAGGGTGGAAGAGGCGGGGAGAAAACAGGAGAGGTGGGAGGAGAGTCCGCGTGGGGAAGAAGAGGACGACCAGCCTCTGAGCGCGAGGAAGAAAAGGTCCCACCAAGAGGAGGAGTTGGAGGCGAAATCGAAGCTGTGGGTAGACGACAAAGCGTTCTGGGCAACCGGCCCCGGACGGATGATCGCAGACGTGGTGCATTCCTGCAAGGGCTACTTCTGCGCGATCGTCAATAGAGATGCAAGCGCCAACACTCCGCAAGGCCTCATGATGCTGCCCCCCGAAGTCCCGCGCGTGCGGATCGAAGATGGCGCGCAACGAGAACCAGCTCTCAGACGAGCGAGACGAACGTAGAACGTGGCAATGCGCGTCATCCACGGGTGGATATTGAGGTCGTCTTCAAGGTCCGATGGTTTCGCCCGCGCGGAGTCCTACGTCGCCACAGATTACCCCACCGACCTGGCGAGAGCAGTTTGGCAGAGCTTGGAGTGGTCGAGGATAGTGCCGCCCACCGTAGTTTACCACACGGTCGCTTTGAAGATGGACATCCCAGTGTGGTTCGCCGGGGCGTATATCGAGAACAGGCCGGAGGACGATGATATGGCCGGGCACCAGGAGGCGACTGTGATGCATCTTGCGTCATGCTTCCACGACACGCTCCGGGCCGGGCAGTGGTGGGACGGCGGTAGATTGTCACACCAGAGACTGAGCAGAATCGGGGATGCTTTCCGCCTGCTTCTCGCCGCGTGCATGTGGATCATGCGCATGGGAGGCGACGATGCCGTCGATGCGCGCTCCTACGAGGAGGCGTCTTACAACGCGCAGCTGGTGGCGAAGCCTACTCTCGTCGCGGCGTGTTCATCGTCCTTCAACTGGCGCCGCCATGTGATGCACTTGGCTAACGCGGTCTTGAGTCGCCTGCGGAAGCCACCGTTGACGCTGGGCGCTTTCCCTGACTACATCTCGGAGTGGGCTTCGTGCGGAGTGAGGTACAACTGCAACGCTGGTCTGGCGGACCCCGACGTCGCGGCGAGAGTGGACTGAATGGGGACGGGACCTTTTGAAGGCGATCGGAAGGAGGACGGTACAAAAGACGAAACGGGAGCGTAAGTGTCCTCGATATGGCCGTCTTGCGTGACAAGGAAGAAGGTATCGCCCGTGGAGTGAAGCGGTCCGTCATTAAGGTTTCGACATGGCGGGAAATGGAAGTGCCGGATCGGCGGGGGGTGGATTGGACGGC